TATATCAAATAATATAAATTGTTTTAAATTTCACTTGTTCAAGTACTTCTGGAATAGTTTATTGGCAGTATATAATTTAAGTGTGAATGATCTTTAAAAAAATATTATGGGGCTAGAAAAGAGATCAGTTGATTTATATATTTATTTCCTGCTGTTTTTAATACTGAAGTGGAAAGTTTATTTAAAATAGTAATGGAACATGTTTTAACACATGGGCATTTTAGCCAATGTGATTTGTTTTATCTTACATAAAGGTTAGTTCATTCATTCAATCATGCAATCAACACATTTACTACTCTGGGGAGTAGGATTACAAAGATGTATATTATGTATGCCCTTTAGGGAATCACATTTTAGTGACCCTAAATTTCTGTTCCAATCAGATGAGAGAGGGAAAATTATTTGTGATTCAATGACTAGCGGCTAGAGAAATACAAACTGACAATGAGACAGGAGAATCAATGCTCGTGATTGGGAAGAATTCTGAACCACAGTGGCAGGATCTTACTAGAGTGAGCACATAAGTAAACATTTCTATGACCAGGCTGATTCACGCTTTCTCCACACTGACCACACCTTCAAACTGATCCCTGCTGTCGTTGCTTAACAACAACAAAACTAATGATAACAGGATTTTGAAAGTTTTAGATAAAAGAGAAGGCACGTTTTCCTCCCCAAATTAGTAATATTTATTAAAATAGGAATTTTTGAGGTGCATTTTGAGCAATTCAATTCAACTTCATGCTTCTAGTTCTCGTGGACAACTTGGGCATTCTTGGCTTGCTAAGGTTAGCATAAATTTTTATGCTTTGCTACATAAAATGTAGCTATGCAAATTGGGTATATGTGAACTTTTTGTTTTAGAAGCTATATAATTCAATATAGTTTTGATTTTGATAATATTCTGATATCGGAATCAAAAGCAATGATTATTATACACACATGTAATTTGTTTACATGGCTAATTCAAACAGGCTTAGAACTTTTTAGAAAATGAGTTTCAAATATCTTTGAGATTTACTTGACACTAATTCAGACTGCTGAGTTAATATAAAAATTCAAACTTAGAGCAGTGAATATCTATAATACATAAAATATGTTATATGGATTTATAGTGTTTATTAAAACAGTGTAGTTTAGTAAAGTGTTGAATTCTAACCAAACATAGTAGCCATTAAATAGCATGGTATATACAAAGGAAGTGTTCGGTGTTTGATATTCAGGGATCTTTTTTCCATTGGATGTTAACTAATTATAAAATTTTAAACACACTAATAAGCTCTTATGTTAATTTATTCATTGCCTAAAGAGCATACATAAGCATGAAAATTTTAAATTTATTTGTGAATATGTGTGTATGTGTGTATGAATGTCTATATATATTAAATTAGTTAATGAACACTTCAGAAAAAATATTCTTATACGGAACAAATTTATTGATTTAGTTTTCATTATTTTGTTTAAAATTGTTTGTTTTCTTTTAAAATCAGGTAGAAAATCATACTTAAGCATATTACTAGAATAAATATTGCTGTAAAGATGGTACACTATGGAGAAAATAGACAACATCAATGTAATTTATTATAACATTAAAAAATGTTCAAAATTTAATTCTCAAAAAGATTTTAAAATATGTATCATTCCCCATCTTGGTCCTACCAGGCATCCACATGGCATAATCACCTAAGTCCATAAAATACAAAATTTTAGGATTTAAAAGATGGTGCCATA